AAATTCCCTCCCAGAAACTTGGAAAAGTTAGAGGAGAAAAGAGAAGTGTGCTTTCTCTCACATCTCATTGGCCCAAATTGTATCGTCTGCCCCTTTCTTAGCCAATCACAAGCAAGAGGTTTGGACTTAACATAATTATCTTTGACCAATCATGATTCTCCTCCTACCTTGGGAAGATACTGAGCCTCTAGGGATCAGGCATCTGTTAGCAAGGAGAAAGAAAGGTGGCTTTAATCTGTCAGGTAGGCTGGACAAGTACCAACTCCTTTGTCCTTTGAGACATAATTCAGTAGTCAGTCCTGGGTAAGTCACTATTGTGATCCAACAGTCATTTTTAATTCTGGTCCCTAAACTTTAAAATAGGCTTCATTCTTTCAAAAAACAAAACAAACAAACAAACAAAAAAACCTTGCCTTTGCTTTCAGTATAACTTCTCTTTCAATCCCAAAAGGGTTTATAACTCTTTCTTTCCTTCACTCCTGTTTACCTGGAATCATGTCCGAACTTTAGGGGTGTCTCCTGTGACAAAAATAGCTTCTTACCTAGTTTTTCCAGGGAACAGTGCCAAGAATGGCTTCCTAACCCAACCATTTGCTGGGCTGTCCGCTCACAGACAGGGCATGTTGGCTGGACCTTGACTGCAACCATCAGATAGCCAGGTAGCCATGGGAGCAGGTGTGGTGGAGAGAAGGGTGAGGCTGCCCATATCAGCAGGTCTCAGGCATCGCTGTAGAGCAGCAGACAGTATCACCTGGCCGGAGAAAGACCAGTGTTTAGACTAGTTTTGTAACCATCTTCTTGTATATAGTGTCTTCCTAGTAGCTCATTTTAGAGATGAGGAGACTGCTGCATATCAGAATTGGGAACCACCCAGATGCCAGGATAGTGTGGCAGCCATTTTATTGGGCAGAAATAAGCATAGTCTCAGACACCAAATTGTGAGTGGTCTAATTCATGAACATTCCCTTACTGATGACTGGACTCACAGTGGATACACAGTCCAGTTCTGAGCAATGCTATAGAAGGAAGCATGTGCAGGCAGCTTCATGGGAGTATGTATTTGCTCTCTGAAAGTAGCAAGGTGTGAGGAAACCGCCCTTTTTCTGCTGTCTCTTCATTTCGTGCCTTGGTTCTTGCTCAGAATTCAGTGTCACTGAGCCCCTGAACCATCCTTGAATTGCTTTCAAGTGAAATCATAAATATCTTCACTATTTAAGGCATCGTTATGTGTTCTATTTTTAAATTTTATTTATTTTATTTTTTTCCGGTCCTGGGAATCGAGCTTACGACCTGGCGCTTGCCAGGCAGGCGCTGTGCCACTGAGCTAAATCCCCAGCCCCATATATTCTATTATTTGCAGCTAAGCCTAATAGACTTCGCAAGAAACACCAAAGTAGCTGGGCGTGGTGGTGCATACCTGTAATCCCAGCACTCGGGAGACTGAGGCAAAAGGGTCACTCTGAGTTCGAGGCCAGCCTAGGTTACATAGTGAGTCCACAGCCAGCCTGAACGACATAGTGAGATCCTATCTCAAAAAACAAAACAAAATAAAAAAACCCACCAAGTGTTATATTGCCAATAATCTTTGATTAATTTGTAATAGCTGGGGCCAAGGATATAGCTTGCACTGCACCTGCCTGGCAAGTGCAAGGTCATGAGTTTGATTCCAGGTACCAAAAAAAATTTTTTTTGTAATAGCTGCCACATAGAACTTTTTGATTGGGCCTGGAGATTTAGCTTAGCGGCAAAAGCGCCTGCCTGGCAAGCGCAAGGTCGTGAGTTCGGTTCCCGGTACCGGAGAAAAAACCAAAAAAAAAAAAAAAAAAAAAAGAACTTTTTGATTAATTAGTGATATCTTCCATAAGAGAGGGATAAAGAAGTAGTGGCACAAGTGTCATGTGTTTGCCATCCTAGTTCTAGGGCCAGCCCAAAACCTGGTGCATAATAGGTGTTCAAGAAAACTGGTTTGTCCCTAAGTCTCTCTACTCCCACCAAACTCTTCACAGATCTGCCCTGTCCATCACGTTGCCTTTTGCTTCCAGCTCCCATTGTTAGCGAGATCTTGTCTAGAGATATTTTGTTTTGTTGCAGCTCCAGACTGGCCTTGATCTCACAATCCTGCCTCAGCCTCCTAAGTGCTGGGATCAGAGATCTCCTTTTCTAGAAAGGCATGGGATCATGGCCCCCAATCACGGGGCCCACAATTGAGATTATTTTGGTTACAAATGTTAGAACCCCAGTTGGGTTTGCAGCCTGACTTTCTGAAGGATGAAATCAGAGATGGAAATCAGCAGGTGCCTGGCAGACCTTTCCTCCATCTCTCAACGTGTCCCCACTGTCTCTTTCTACACACTCTCTTCCTCTCTGTACACAGAAGAAGGTGCTTGCCTCTGTAGCACTCAAGCCACCAGTGTAGATTCCCTTTCAGTCTCAGTCTGAACAGTCTCGTGTGGCTCAGGTGTCCAGTCCAGGAAGGCAGGATTGCATGTCAGAACAGGACTTTATGGGTCAGCTGGTAGGAAAGCCGATCTGGGCTGATATTCCAGAAGTATTCTGACCAGTGTGGTTGCTACTAACTCTTTGTAATTATTATTATTATTTTTTTTGGTACTGGGGATGGAACTCAGGACCTGTGCTTATGCCACTGAGCTATATCCCCAGCCCTTTGTAACTATTTGAAATTAATTTTTTTGTCTTTTTGAGATAGGGTCTCACTGCACAGGTCAGGCTGGCCTTAAACTCACTTTGTAGCCCAGGCTGACCTCAAACTGTCAGTGATCCTCCTGCCTCAGCCTCCTAAGTGCTGGGATTACAGGCATGAGCCACCATGCCCAGCCTTGAAATTAATTTTAAGTGAACTGAAATTAAATAAAAATATAAAATTCAGTTGATTTATACTACCCTCATTTTAAGGGCTCAGTGGCAGTATGTATATTGAATATTGTATATATAGAGGAATTTTCCATGATCACAGAAGATTCTGTTGGAAAATGCTGCTCTAGAAGGCATTCACTATACTTAGTGATAATTGGTCAGACCTTATAGGGCCCATGGGCAACTGTATGGGTTTGGGTACACACTTGCTGCCCAGAAATGATTGTGGCTTAAATATAAAAGTCTTTCCAGGTGTGGTGGCACACGCCTGTAATCCCAGCACTCAGGAGGCTGAGGCAGGACGATTATTGCGCGTTCAAGGCCAGCCTGAACGGCACAGTGAGACCCTGTCTCAAAAAAAGAAAGAAAGAAAGAAAGAAAAAAACCCTGCAAATATAAAAGTCTTTTGCTGTCTTAGATAACAGTCCAAGTCTGATAAGGCATCTCTTAAATGTCAGCATCTATTCCTCTCTATTTAGATGGTTTGACTTCCTTGGAGTATGGGTTTTGTTCTAATGGTTGGGATGGTGTCCCACCCGTCTGGTTTCAGGTAGTGAAAGGGAAAGAGAAGGGCATGCCCCTTTCTTCAGTAAGCAAAGCCGGGTATCTGCACACATCCTGTCTGGTCTCATCCTGTTTGCCAGACTTGGTCACATGGATCCTAGAGCTGCAAGGGAGCCTGGAAACTGAGGCCTCTGGCTGAGAGGCTAGCACTGTATTGGAGGACACTGAGCAGCTTCTACCATAGGACTATCTCATTCCACTCCCCTTTAAAAAAAAATTACTTTAAAGAGAGGAAAAGAAACCAATAAAAACAATGATAGAGAATTTTAAAACAAGATGATAGGAAATTAACCATGGTTATTATATTGCATATTGTTATCTTCGAAGTAGTTGCTCAGATTACAAGATACAGGCATGCGAAATTGATCAAATAATATAAGCACAAACTGTTACTTTCAATGAACTAAAGGAAATTAGTAGTACAATTATCTTAGCTATCTTGTATATATGTATATATATATACATATATGTGTATATATACACAAGAAAATATATAAATATGCATATATTTTTTTTCTTTTCCTTCCTTCTTTTCTCCTTTCCCTCATCCCAGTTGTTTTTTCCTTCTGAGCAGTTTCTTTCCCTTTTATAATATCTATTGTACATTTTGGATCTTATTTACTCTTTCACTTTCTTACACTAGGGAGACAATACGGTTTACACATGCAGGTCTGATTTATTTCACTTATGAGTATGGTCTCTAGTTGTATCTATTTACCTATAAAAGCCTCAAGTTTATTCTTCTTTAGAGCTGAGTAGTATTCCATTGTATAAAAAGACCACATCTTTTTATCCATTCCTCGGATGATGGGCATTTGGGGTCTTTCCAAGATTTAGCTATTACAAATTGTGTTGCTGTAGACATGGGTGCACATATATCATTGTGGTGTGATGTTTTTAATTCTGGGAAAATACCCAGAAGGGGAATAGCTGGGTCAAATGGGACCTCTAATCCTAGTTTCTTGAGGAATCTCCTCACTGATTTCCACAGTGGTTGCACCAGTGTACACTCCCACCAAAAGTGGAGAAGGGTTCCTTTTTCCCCACAGCCCTGCCAACATTTGTTATTGGTTGATTTCTTGGTAACAGTCATTTTTTCTGGGGTGGAATCTCAGTGTTGTTTTAATTTGTGTTTCTCGAATGACCAATGAGTCAACTCCTCTTTGATGATGAGAATGAAGAGAAAGAACATTGGCAGACCTGTCACATGTCCTGGTTCCCATCTCAGTGCTCCTTCCCTGCCTTGTTGTAGCTATTGTTTGTTCTCTGTAAACAGCCATCCTGAAAGTCCGAACCCTTCCACCTACTTGTCTAGAACTTAGTCCCTTGGCTACACCTTGCAGAGGAGGCTGGGAAGTGTAGTCTGTCTTCTAGGCGGCCATGTGTCCATGAACCAGGGGGAAGGTGAGTGGATTGGTAGGCATCAAGTATTTCCTACCACACTGCCATGCCACAGGCTTCATTTTAAAATAACATGGTGCTACTGGACCTAAATTAAGCTCTTAATTAGCTGGTGATAATCATGCTACACAGTGGTAATTGCTGACCTCTCTTTTGACCAGTCAAGTACATGAAGGAGGTCTCACCATATTTCAAGAACTCTGCCGGTGGGACCTCGGTCGGCTGGGACTCGCCTCCTACCTCACCCCTTCAGCGGCAGCCTTCCTCCCCTGGCCCTCAATCCCGCCACCTCAGTGAGGCCAAGCACGTGCCCTTGAAGATGGCATATGTCTCAAGGAGGTGCACCCCCTCTGACCCGGAGTCCAGGTGAGGCTGAGTGGGAGGCTTCTCGGACACTCAGATGCCCTGGTGTTAGGCGGTGGGACCAAAGCGAAGATGCCTTTGTTGTATAATGACAGGCACAATGCCAGCACCTAGTAGGTGCTTAAGGAGTAGTCTGAACGGATGCATGTGTGAAGTTATGGGGTGATGATGTGCTTTACTTCTCACTTCCTCCTCTGGGTTTATGGAGGAGCCCTGGATTTTCCTCACTGACCTGATCACTCTTAAAGGTTGTTGGATTCAGTTATCCCCTCAAGGCAACTTGTGGTGGTTTTGAGATGTCTGGTAAGATTTGGGTCAGGGACACAGAAGGTTACTATCCTTCACATTTGAGCAGCCTTTAACAGTTCACTGATGCCCATGATGAATGTAATCATTGTGGACTGCAAACATGTACTAATAAAAAAAAAATTGAAAGAGAAAAACCCAGTTCATTAATAATAAGGTCAGTACCTAGCATTTAGTGAGTGCTGACTGTGTATCCAGCACAGGTCATGTGGTTCCCAGGCATGATTTCATTTAACTCTCATGGTGGCCCTAAGAACAAAGTCCCACTTCACTCCATTTTATAGTTGATAACAGAGAGAGGAATCACACAGAAAGGGTGTCACTTGCCTCACTCCGGGTACCTTCTCTGCTTGAGAAGCTGCAGGTGCCTGAGTGATGGTGGTGGTTGAGTGGAATCTAAGTCGGTCAAGAAGGGGCTGGGGGTGTTGTGTATGTGGCATATGTATAAGGAGCTTGTGTTGTGGGTCCTAGTTACAGCCTAGGTTCAGTGCCAGGCTAGTGTTCAACATTGGCTGGGAGGACTGGTGAATGTCCAGCATCTACACCCCTTCAGCCCCGTGATGCCAAGCCCCTGCCTGCCCCATGAGGAAAGAACTGGTGATTTGCATTCCAGAGGCCGATGCCGGAGGGTTGTGAGTTCTAGGCCAGCCTGAACTATGTGGTGATATTTTGTCCCAAAAGAAAAAAATGCCAGTTGTGGTGGTGCACTCCTGTAATCTCAGCACTTAGGGAGGCTGAGGCTGGAGGATCTCAGTTTTGAGTCTAGCCTGGGCAACTTAGTGAGACCCTGTCTCAAAATAAAAAAGGGCTAGGAATGTGACTGTCAGTGTTAGAGCATTCCTGGGTTTGCTTTCCAGTCCAGTACTGAAAAAAAAAAAAAAAAGAATTTGTGGTTCACAGATCACTTACAGGGGTTCCACTGAAAGGGTCTTTGTACTGGGTGAAGATGAGGTGGTTTTAATCATTCCAGAGGCTGATAGAACCTTAAGGTACCCACCTGATCCCAGGCATCACTCACAGCATGTATGTACATGTGTTTCTGTGTGTGTGTACATGTGTGGATGATATGTGCCTTCTGCCACATTTTATTTGTTGAATGAAATCATAAGGTCAAAGAGAGGAGAAATAAACTTTACCTTTGGTAGGAGAAGTGGACTGTGTGTATAGGGCCAGATGCATTTGAAGGAGCCCATCTTTGGGTACTAATTACCACACATAGGAAAGATTTGCCTTTCATTTGGAAGGCTCACTTCACCAGAGACCTCTGTGTGTCACAGGTCAGAACTGGGTCACCTAGGGGTATAGCTCAGTGATAGAGCACTTGCTGAGCCTGTGTGTGAGTCTCTAAGTTTCATCTCCTGCACTGCAAAAGACAAAAACAAACAAAAGTCACACGGCCAGCCCTAACTGCTAAGGGAAGCTGGGAATTCAAGAATTTTGCTTCCTAATTCTATAATAGAGGAAGGCAGAGGTAACGGGGTGTGAAATGGGTTTTGTGTGGGACACAGTGGTGCAGGTCTGTAATCCCAGCACTCAGGAGGCCTAGGCAGGTGGATCACTGTGAGTTTGAGTCTAGCCTAAACTGGCCATGGAGACCCTGTCTCAAAAAACAAAACAAAACAAAAAAATAAAGAGGGGGTTTTGTGCATGTGAATCATTCTTCAATTTCCGCCCCCGCTCCATCTACTACAGAAATGCCAAAGCGTCAGGTGTGGTGCCACAGGCTTGGAAGGCTGAGGCAGGAAGATCGCAAGTTGGAGCCCAGGCTGGGCAATGTATGACTTAATCAGATCTTGTCTCAAAATAAAAAATAAAAAAAGGGGTGGGGATGTATGTAGCTCAGTAGGAAGGCTCTGGGTTCAGTCCCCAGAACTGGGGAAAAAAGTAAACTGAAACAAAAAAACAAACGAAATGCCAAAGGGGAATGCCTCATTAGTGCCCCACACAACATTCTGCAAACCTTCTCAGACATTGCTCCTGCTGGTAGCTCCCTGAAACTCCCCTCCACACTTGCCTGTGGGGTCTTTTATCTCCACCTCTCTCTACTCCATTTCCTCAGCTCTTCATTGTATAGATCAATTTGACCCCCACTTGTTTTGGGGAGGTTTTTGAGACAGGGTCTCACTATGTAGTTCAGATTGGCCTTGAACTCGAAGCAATCCTCCTGCCTCAGCCTCCCAAGTGTGATTACAGTGGTGCAGTATCATAGCTGGCTCTTTCCTCTTTATTAATAGATGAATTAGTTTGGTTCTGTGCAACCAAATTTTCCTTAGAAACCAAAAGGAAAGGGAATGGTGAAACCTCACATAGCAATCATTTTGGCTTCAGTGCACGTTTGAGTATATGTGTGTTTGTGTGCATAGTGTATATGTGTATTTGTCCTTGTCCCTTGTCTCTAGGCCCCATGAGGACCCCAAACTGGCTGGAGCCCCAGCAGTCAGCAACCTCCTCCCTCTCTCAGGGCCATGGCCCATGGCTTCTGCTAGTGAGGCAGGGGGTAGTGTTTCTTAGGCTGGATTCTGGGCTTGGGCAGCTGCAGCTCAGTGATGGGCTCCACTCGCCCCTTTTGTACCTACAGGTACCTGGAGATCTGTGCGGCAGATGGTCAAGACACCCTCTTCTTGAGGGCCAAGGATGAAGCTAGTGCAAGGTCATGGGCAGGTGCCATCCATGCCCAGATCAACGCTCTGATGCCCTGGGTCAAGGATGAGCTGCAGGCATTGCTGGCAGCCGCAGGCACAGCTGGGAGCCAGGACATCAAGCAGATTGGCTGGCTGACTGAACAGGTGCCTTTCCTCCCTTGGAACTGGCCTGTCCCAAGAGCCTTTCATCACCTCACTGCCCCCGGCCCTCTGACCGCTCCCTTCCCCACTCCTCTCACTGCTACTTTGTCTTCTGCAGCTGCCCGGTGGGGCCACAGCCCCTAACCTGGCCCTACTGACTGAAAAGGAGCTGCTCCTCTACAGTGGTCTCCCCCAGACCCGGGAGGCCCTGAGCCGGCCGGCCCACACTGCCCCACTCATCGCCACCAGGTACCCAGGGCCTGGGCCCATGTCTCATCCAGAGCTTGAGGGAGATGTTCCAGATGGGCCCCTGAAGCTACAAACTCCTGCCCCCTTCTGACCTCCTTAGATTGGTCTGAGTTCCTTCCCATGCAATCTCAAGCAAGTCTCTGTCCTCTTTGGACCTGTTTCCTCATCTGTAAAATGGGGGCTTCAACAGAGGGCTGTGAAGTCCTGTCAGTCACTCCTCCATTGACACGTGGTCCAAGGGGCACAGCTGACCCCAGCACTCACAACCCTCATGGAGAGCACAGTCCCACAGTGGGGGAGATGGGCCCAGGAACAGCCATTATAACTATAGAAGCCACTTAACCCGGCCACACCTGGTGGGTGGGGCAAGGCCTCAGGGAGGAGGTGGCATTCTAACTGGACTTCGATGGGTGAGGGGAAGTTGGCTATTAAGGAATAAGGGAAAAAGGAGCTCACATAGAAAGTGCATCAGGTCAGAGGCACAGAGGCATGTCACGGGACTGAGGGGCTACAGCCAGATGGAGAATCCATGCAGGACCTGGAGATAAACGAGACAGGGAGTTGGCAGGGCCTGATCTCGTAGATCCCCTGCTTTGGGCTAAGGAATGCTAGCTTTCTCCTCAGGCTTGTGGCAGTGCTGAGGGGTTCAGCTCAGAAGCCAGTTACTCAGGTTATGTTTTATTTATCTGTTGTGCTACCAGGGATTGAACCCATGGCCTCGTGCATGCCAGGCAAGTGCTGTCCCACTCAGCCATACCTCAGGCCCCCCGGGTGTGTTTGAAAGAAGCCCTGTAGAGTGGAGAATGCACGGGGGCAGGGCAGGGCGGCGGCTGGAAGGCTGCTGCAGTCACGCAGGAGAGATGGTGGGGTGGGGAGGTGCGGCGGGGGAGGCAGCAGATGGGGAGGAAAGGCAGCCTTTGCCGTGGAACATTCACAGGCTCAGTGCTTGCCAGATGAGGGTGAAGGAGGTGTCCCAGATGAACAGGAGGTTTGGAGCTTGTGTCTGGGAGGCAGTGGGAATGGGAGTGGGGCTGTGAAGGGAGGAGGAGATTGGAGCAAGATACTGAGTCTGCTCCAAAGCATGCGTGGAATGGACAGGGAACTCAGATAGGAAGCTTGGGGTCCTGTGGGTCCGCAGCTCAGGGCTTTCCAGTGGGAGACTGGATGTCAGCAGTGGCTCCCAAGGGAAACCGAGAGAGAGGGTGGCGTGAGGAGCAGAGAGGGCTAAGAAGTCAGAGGTCTGCTGCCCAGAGACAGGCAGAAGCTCCCAAAGGCCACACAGCAGGTAACAGTCAAGCTACAGGCTCTGGGACCCTTGTCAGTCATATCTCCTTGGCCTGTACTGGGCTCTGGCCCACGTGTCAGGGACCCGCTGGCTATTGGGGTTACGCAGGTTATGGATTGCATGTCTAATCAAGTGACTCATTAATTAAGGTAACAAATGTTTATTGAGAACCTACTGTGTATCATACATGGTTTGAGTTACTGGGGATACAGCAGTGAACTAAATAAACAAAAATGTCTACCCTTGTGGATGTTCTAGTGAAAGAGTCAGCCAGAAACCAACAAAAAGGATAATTTCTGGAACCAGGATGCCAAGTAAGGCTAGTGAGTGACAAAGGTGTTATTTTAGACAGGGAGATCAGGGAAGGCTTTTCAGAGGAGGTGACATTTGACAAAGATCAGAGGGAAGTAAGGGGGTGAACTGTGTAGATAATTAGGAAGTGTCTGAGCAGAAGGAACAGCATGTGCAAAGGGATGTGTGTATTGTGATGAAAATATTGCCTCGGCTGGAGCTGGGGGAGGGTGGTGAAAATGTCTCCAGCTGAGTCAGTTTGTGCCCACCTGAAAGTGCTGCCCCTGTTAGGTGGTAAAGGGTTCTTGGGTCATTGCCTCCTTGCCCAGGACTGTTTCCACCCCCCAAGCAAGGCCTCATGCCTAGCCCTCTGCACCCACGCAGGCTGGTACACTCAGGCCCCTCCAAGGGCTCGGTGCCCTATGACGCAGAGCTCTCTTTTGCCCTGCGCACGGGCACGCGCCACGGCGTGGACACGCACCTGTTCAGTGTGGAGTCACCGCAGGAGCTGGCTGCCTGGACCCGGCAGCTGGTGGATGGCTGTCACCGGGCCGCTGAGGGTGTACAGGAGGTGTCCACAGGTATGCTGGGAGGAGCTGGGGGTGCCTCTCTGGTAATGAGACTCATATTCACAGAGGCGTGCAAGCTTCCTTCCATAGGATGCATTGAGGGGGACTAGAGAGTGGGTTTGGGCTCCCTGGGGCCTTCTGGTTTGGATTGCAGGGACATTGCAGGTCATGAGACTTTCCCTGGGGGGTCTTTCTTACCTTGTCTTTGTGATTCTGCTGGTGATGATATAAGAAGTGGCACTTGGGGTTAGGCTCCAGATGAAACACAGGACATCCAGATGAGTATGAATCTCAGATAAACAATGAATGCTTTTTTTGGTTTAAGTATGCCAAAATTACTCACTGTTTACATGAAATTTAAATTTTAAGCAGCAATTCTGTAGGCCCCTAAGGTTTCCAAGGACTGTGCTTAGTAGGTTTGCTGACGCCTTTGTGGGGGATGAGCCTCCTGTCCATGGCAGAGTTTATACTTTCCCTTTCTTGTTCTGACGCTGCTGGAAGTGGGACTAGAAGTGGGCACAGGTTCTCTGAGGGCCTGTCTTTCTGAATTTTTGGGTGTAGGGGTGACTGCAGGGTGGGTGCCCAGGTGTCATGCAGACAGTGGGCCTCCCACTTATGGGGTATTCCAGGCCCTCAGGAGAGCGACTGGTGGGGGCCGGAGGTGGGGTGTATGGTCTCTGAGGTGCCTGCACCCCTCCCTGCAGCCTGCACATGGAACGGCCGTCCCTGCAGCCTCTCCGTGCACATTGACAAGGGCTTCACACTGTGGGCAGCTGAGCCAGGTGCAGCTCGAGCTGTGCTGCTTCGACAGCCCTTTGAGAAGCTGCAGATGTCCTCAGATGATGGTGCCAGTCTCCTTTTCCTGGACTTTGGGGGTGCTGAAGGCGAGATCGTAAGTGGAGGGGCGCCTTTGTACCCTGGGTATGGTGGATATGTGCTGTCCTGGAGGCCAGCCTGGGAGAGGGACTGTGACCTTTCTCTCCATCCACCCTGCAGCAGCTGGACCTGCACTCGTGTCCCAAAACCATGGTCTTCATCATCCACTCCTTTCTCTCGGCCAAAGTCACCCGCCTGGGGCTCTTGGCCTAGAAGTCACCAGATGTACTAGCCAGGAAGAGGGGGCATCCACCTGGCCTGACCTGGCCCTCTGCCAACTGCCCTCTGCCGACTGCCTGCTCACTGCTGGGCTGAGGGGAAGGAGAGGAGAGGAGCACGGGCCTCAGAGACCCAGCCCCTGAGGGAGGCTGAGTTGGTCTTGGGGACCAGGACCTGGGACCCAGGACACAGTGGACCCTGCCTGTGAGGGGCAGCCTTTCTGCTGCCCTCTTCCACCAGTGCCTTTTGCAGAGAGATATTTTGTGTACACAGAAGCCATTCCGAGCCTGGGACCTGCCCATGTGTGGGTCTGACCCCAGCCCACTGCTGAGCTGCCAGGCTTCCCAGAGGCCTTGAAGTCACCCCCTTCAGAGGCCCCATCCGAAGCTGGAGTCTCCTGGGTTAGCGGCAAGAGAAAGAAGAGGAGCCTTTCTGTTCACTTTTCCCTTCACTCACCGCCTTGGGACACCACAGTTCTTCTCTTCATCCCCTCTCTCTCCACCTCACTCTTGGGTAATAAACAGCCTGCGAGCACACAGGCAGATCGGCCAGTGTCTGTGATTTGTGTCTTGGCCTTGGGACCCTGTGGTGGCCCCTGTAGTCTCAAAGTGAACCAGACCAAGGAGTGGGGCCCCTCTCCCTGAAGGAGAACAGACTTAACTGGGCTCAAAAGTCACCTGTAATCTCAGCACTAGGGAGGCTGAGGCAGGAGGATTGCCACAAGTTTGAGGCCAGCCTGGGCTACATAGTGAGTTTAAGGCCAGCCTAAGCTACATATGAGAACCCTTCTTAGGGGCTGGCGATTTAGCTCAGCGGCAAAAGCACCTGCCTGGCAAGTGCAAAGTCGTGAGTTCGGTTCCCGGTACCAGAGAAAAAAACCAAAAAAAAAAAAAAAAGAGAGCCCTTCTTAAAAAAAAAAGCAGCATACTGTTTATCTATTGCAATGTAAATTAACCTACAATTTAGCAGTTTAAAACCACAAACTTTTATTTCTTAGGTTCTGTAGGCCAGACATTTGAGAAGGGCTAAGCTGGGTCATTCTTGCCTCAGGGTCTTTCACAAGGTTAGAGTCAGTGTCTACTGGGTATGGTAGCACACACATGTAATCCCAGCACTCAGGAGGCTGAGGCAGGAGGATCACTGTGAGTTTGAGACCAACTTGAGCCACATAGTTCAAGGCCATTCTGAACTACATAGCAAGGCCCTGTCTCAAACCAAAAAAAAAAAAAAAAAAAAGAGCCAGGCTTCAGTGGCTGTTGGCAGATGTCTCACTTCCTCGCTGAATGGGCCACACCAGAGTGCTACTTGAGTGTCCTTAGGACATCGCAGCTGGCTCCCTCCAGAGTTGTGTGACTCAAGAGAGAGCAAGCAGAAAGCCACAGAGCCTCTAATGAGCCTCTTTGTATATCATAGACTAGCGGTGGCAAATCTACAGCATGGGTGCTGCAGTGGGTGTTTGCTTTGTTATCACTGAAAGCTCTAAAAGGTTCACCATCACTGTCATAGATGTCATTTCTGCTTTGTTCCATTCCTTAGTAGTGAGTCATAAGGGGCTGAGGATTTAGCTCAGCGGCACAGCGCCTGCCTGGCAAGCGCAAGGTCATGAGTTCGATTCCCGGTACCGGAAAAAAATACAAAAAAAAAAAAAAAAAAAAAGAAGTGACTCATAAGTCCAGGAAAGGGGAATTAGGCTCCACATCTTGGTGGAAGGAATGTCAAAGAATTTGTGGACCTGTTTCAGAACCACCACAGAGAGCCCCAGGACCCTTTCCTGCAGTAGGGAGGTCGGGGACCATGCTGTAGTGTGCTGGCTGGACGTGACTGTGGTGTGGTTCTGACTCTGCTTGTTTGTGTTGTCCAGAACATCAGTGACAGCAGTAACAATGGGTAACATCCACCAGGCTCTGTGCTAGGCACTGGGTACACACCTCATGACTACACAGTGAGCACCATTCCACTGGTACCTGGAGATTGAAGGAGGCGGGTGACTTGCCTAAAGTCACACAGCTATGAAGTGTCTGGGATGGGATTCAAATCCAGCCTGACAGACTTCAAAACCCTTGTTCCCCACTATGCAATAGAAATATAATATGAGCCACATCTGTAATTTTTTTTTTATTTTTTATTTTTCGAGACAGGATCTTGCTGTGTAGTTCAGGCTGGCCTTGAACTCACTATGTAGCCCAGGCTGGCCTCAAACTCAGTGATCCTCCTGCCTCAGTCTCCCAAGTGCTGAGATTACACACATTTGTAATTTAAAGTTTCCTAATCGCCACATTTAAAAAGTTAAAAAAATTAGTGAAAATATTTTAATATTTATTTAGGGCTGGGTGTGGTGGCGCACGCCTCTAATCCCAGCATTCGGGAGGCTGAGGCAGGAGGACTATTGCGAGTGCAAGACTAGCCTGGGCTACAAAGTGAGCTCAAGGCCAGCCTAACTGCATAGTGAGACACTGTCTCAGAAAAAAAGAAAAAAAATACTTATTTAGGCTAGGCATGGTGGCACACACCTGTAATCCCAGTACTCGGGAGGCTGAGGTAGGAGGCTCGCCATCAGTCTGAGGCCAGCTTGGGCTACATAAGCGAGTTCAAGGCCATCCAAACTACATAATGAGACCCTGTTTCAAAAAAACAAAAAACAAAAGCAAACCAAAAATTCCTTAAAGCTTGGCATGATGGCACACGTGTGTAATCTCAGAGCTCAGGGAAGCTGAAGCAGGAGTATCACTTCAAGTTTGAGGCCAGCCAGGGCTACATAGTGAGTCTCACACAAGCCTGAACTACATAGACCCTATCTCAACAAAACAAAACAAAACATTAATAAAATGTTAAACATTCCTTCTTTTGTACTATATTTTTGAAATCTAGTATATATTTTAAACCTACGGCATATCTCTATTCAGATGCCAAATTTTCAGTGGTTACTTGGTTTGTATTTGTATCTTACTTAGATGAACAAAGTAGATTCACATACTATGTTGTTCGAAACATTCTAAAATACCAATAATTGACTTATGTATCATGTTTTAAATTAAAATTAAAATGAATAAATTCTACTTGTTCACATTAGCTGCATATCAAGTGCTTGGTAGCCACATGAAGCTCGTGGCTCTTGAGGTATACTGTGTAGCTCTATGTTTGATTTTTTTTTTTTTTTTTGAGATAGTGTCTCGCTATGTAGTTCAGATTGGCCTCAAACACTTGTAGCAATCCTCCTGCCTCAGCCTCCAGAGTGCTGGGATTACAGGCTTGTGCCACCATGCCCAGCATTTACTAGTTCTAATTGAGCTTCACATGAAGAAACCAGCACACACGGTCATGTGACAAGCTAGAGCCAGAGCTGGTTCTAGGGACCCAGAGACATTTCAGCCTGCTCACCCATCAACCTGTCTATGCATCTGTCAGTCCACTATCCCTCTAATGTACACCTGCTCTGTGCTACCCCTTGGGGCTAGGAGGCGCTGTGGCAGAGAACAAGACTGGCAGATCCCTGTCCTCAGGAAAGAAACCCTTCAGAAGCTCCGACAATCCCAAGTATGATTTCAATTGGGACGATGTGGAGAGTACAGAGACCAGTGGGACCCAGGTGGGTGGGTGGGGCGTAGGGAGGTTTCTCGGAGTAGACACTGAAGCAGATGTCCACTTGAAGGAGCAGGCTTTACTCAGCTACTCTTGCAACAATGCTGTGGAAGAAAACAGCGCCAATCTCAGTGGTGACAGCAAGTAGCACTTATTTTCACACCCCTGGGCTCCACCTGTCTGTAGTTTGACGAGTGTAAGATGGGCTGGGCTGCGTGGTTGTGCTTCAGGCTTAGGTCTGTTCTGCGCTCCATTCTGAGCCCAGGATGAAGGGCACTGAAGAAGGACTCAGTCTTACCATGGCACAGGTCACTGGAGTGCAAAGGAGAGTGAGTTGCACAGGTACACACATGTCATTAGCCTGACGTCAGTGGGGAAGAGACGTGCTCCACTGAGGTGTGGGGTGGTGAATACTCCCTCAATACTACTTCGCCCTTTTGCAGACGAGCAGGAGTTAGGTGGAAGGAGTGAGCACTCCAGGCAGAAAAGCCAAGTGAAAGGTCCTCAGGTAGGATAAAATATGGGGCTCCTGGTATCCGAGAGGTTTGTTTTTCCTTTCTTTCCTTTTTTTTTTTTGGGGTACTGGGGATCAAACCCAGGCCCTTTGCCCAGGCTAGTCTCGAACTCATGATGATCTTGCTTCAGCCTCCCAAGTGCAGAAATTATAAGAGTGTATCACCATGCCCAGCCCCAGACTTGGTTTGAATTTGCAATCCTCCTTCCTCAGCCTCCTAAGGGGATCTGTTTCCATCACCTTTACCTCACAGGACATCACGCTGGTCCAGGAATCCACAGTCTTTCTACTGCCACAGTCCCCCAAATCCTTTCCTTATTTGCTTCCCTGCCCTCTTCCCACCTCCCTGCAGTGTACTTGCCTCACAGCCACCTAATACGCAAAGACACAGTCAGCACTCACTGGTTGTCCATGGTTACCCCCGTAAGCAGCAGAGTCTTCATGGGAGCCCAGCGACCTGATGTTTGATTATTCAGTACATGGCAAGACTGGATGCGCTAGTTGTGAGCACTAGCAGGCGCTGCACTGCTGAGCTCATCCCTGACCCAAAGGCATTAGATTTAGTGTCTGGTGAGGATTCACTTTCTGTTTCACAGATGGTGCCTTTTTTGTTTTGTTTTCATTTTTTTGAGACAGGGTCTTGCTATGTAGTTTATACTGGCCTTGAATTCACTATGTAGCCCAGGCTGGCCTTGAACTCATAGAGATCCTCTCGCCTCAGCCTCCTGAGTGCTGGAATTACAGGCCTGTGCCACCACACTCAGCTGAGGTCTCTTGGATAGGGGCCCTAATTCCATTTCTAAGAGTTCTACCCTTATGTCTCAATCACCTCCCAAAGGAACTTATACCATTACCTTGAAGGTTAGGATTTCAAGATATGAATTTGAGAGGGACACAAACATTTAGATTATAACAATATATGTGTAGTGAGCTCTAAATTGTTATTTATTATGAGTAATTGGCACACATGATTACAGAGGCTAAATTCCATAATTTTCCATCTGCAAGTTGGACACCCAGGAAAGCTGGTGGTATAAATGCCAGTCCAAATCTGAGGACTGAGAACCAGGAACATCAATGATGTACTAGTCTGAGGGCAGGAGAAGACGGATGTCTCAGAGTTTGTCCTTTCTCTGGCATTTTATTCTATTTGGGGCTTCAAAGGATGGATGATGTCCACTCACACTGGATAGGGTGATATGCTTTCCTGAGTCCACCAATCCAATATTCACAGACACAACTAGAAATAATGTCCCACCTGAAATCTGGGCATCCAGTGGCCCAGTCAAACTGACATACAAAAAATTAACCATCACAATGTTCTATGGTGTTTCCCAGAGTTCCTCAGCAGGATTAAGACCCAGATATGGAAAATCAGAAATGGATAGATGTGAGATATTTTGGAGTTACAGCTGGTAGATTGAATGTATAGAATGAGGGAAGGAAAAAAAATGACACTTTTAAGTTTCTAGTGCAATTGAAAGGATGGTTGGGTTATTTGCTGGCATGGGTCAGAACAGCAGAAACAAGTCTTCGGTCAGGATGTGCATAGAAATGAAGAGTCCTGTACTAAGTTAGAGATGGTCAGTAGATACCCAAGATGAGGTGACAAGCAAACAGTTGAAATTCCAGGGAGGGTCTAGGTTCAGAGGTGCTTCTGGAAGTTACCAAACTGCAGAGCAGCATTGTTTAATAAAGCAGGACAAGGTGGTACAAGCCTCTAATCCTAGCATTTAGGAAGGCTGAGGCAGGAGGATCAAAGCTAGAGGCCAGCCCAGGCAATTTGCCAAGATCCTGTCTCAAAAGAAAATTAAGCCTGGCAAGCACAGGGTCCTGAGTTCAATTCCAAGTAAAAAAGAAAAGAAAAGAAAATTAGGAGCTGGGCCTAGTGGCCAGGCCTCTAACCCCAGCACGTGGGAGCCTGAGGCAGGAGGACTGCTGTGTGCTTGGGGCCGGCTGGGGCTACATAGTGAGTTCAAGGCCAGTCTGAAGCATACAGCAAGATCCTGTTTCAAAAAAAAAAAAAAAAAAAAAAAAAAGAGAGGGGCCGTGCCTCGGGGTTCAATCCCAGCAATGCAAAACAAGACAAAAATGTCGAGCCATGTATGTGATTTAAAATGCTGTAGTAGCCTTGTTCGAAAAGAAACAAATTAATTCAAATCATACATTTATTTGAGCCAATGAATCTCAACTATTATTTGGCGCATAATCAATAGGAAAACTATTTGTACGCTATTTCACGTTTTTTTTTTCGACAGTAAATGCTAGTTTACACGTAGAGCACATTTGTTTCGCACTCACCACTTTTCAAGGGCTCAGCTGCCTCCTGCTGGCCAGTAGGCACCAGCGCTGCCATGGGGCCTTTCCAAAGCCGGGAGGCTGGGTTCACCCGGACCACACAGATGAAGCACTTCCGGTGGGACGTCCCGGGCGGAAGTCATGAGTACGCTTCGGGGGACGGCAGAGAGGGATCGAGAGCCCGGGTACAGAGCTTCTGCAGCGGGACGCCGGAACTCTCGGTTGTGGTGAGTGGCACTGGGGGCTGGGTTGGCCTGCGCACCTGTGTGTGGCCCAGCCCGGAGCAGAAGGGCACGCGGGGCCCTGAAAATGCGCCAGGCTCAAGCGGGAAGATGTTACTATGGCTCCGGCTCAGGACCTGGCGTCAGACCGTCGGGGCTTGTAGTGCAGCCTCGCAGCCTACTCCTGTGAAACCCTGGGCAAGTCATCTCTCCCTCTGAGCTCTGGCTCGGTTGCCTGTCAAGTGGGGATGATAGTAGAACTTGCGTTGCGTCGCGGGACGGCTGTGAAGGTTAAATGCAGTAATCGTGGAAGGGCTTTGCACCATACCTAACCCATTGTAACCACCCAATAAAACGCACGGGCCGTTGTTCCACGGTCATTGGCAGCTGCCCAAATTAATTGGAGACTGTGCAGGAGCTCCTATACTGTGCTATGCAGAGCGTTTTTGCTTTCTTTTTTCCTGAGACAGGGTCTCCTTGTGTAGTTCAGGCTAGTCTTGAACTTGCAGTGATTCTCCTACCCCGGATTTACTGGGGTTACAGACATACACCACCACACCTTTTTTTTTTTTTTTTTTTTTTTTTTTTAAAGAGACTGAGCCTCTCTGTGTTGCCCAGACTCCTCAAACTCCTGGGCGCAAGTGATCCTCCTACCTCAGTCTCCTGAGTAGCTAGTACTACTGTGTGTGCCACTGTGCCAGGTTTCAGATAATACTAAGAATGCCAGGCATGGTGGCACATGGCTGTCATCCTAGCACTGGTGAGGCTGAGACAGGAGGATCACAGCAAGTTTGAGGCCAGCCTGAGCTACATTAGTGAGTTTAGGGCCAGCCTGGATTACACAGGCCAGACAGGCCAGCCCTGTCTGAAAACAACAGTGACAATAACAGAACAAAAGATAATATTAGGGTTACCTTCTTACTCCTATCTATAACCCCAGCACTTGGGAGTTGAGGCTGGAGGATCACAAATTTGAGCCCAGTGTGGGGAATTTAGCAGTTTAGTGAGAGCCTGTCTCAAACAAAAAATGGGGGTAGGGTGGAGCCTGAGAATGTAGCCCAGTGTAAAGGTTCAGTCCCCGATGCTGTGGTGGCGTGTGGGGAAGAATGCCTTTATGGACTTTTGTGAGGAATAAATGAGTTAATGCACTTGGAGCGCTCAGAGCAGCAACTGGACTTAGTGTTCATAAGTTTCCATGATGTCTGTCTGTCATTCTTTTGCAGACCTTGGGCTGTTCAGCGCCATGCATTCTTTACAACGTGTCCTCCCAGTACAGAGGTCTCTGAGGCGGGGGCCGTTGGCTGCTGTGTCCTGGCTGCTGCTCAGGACCTGCAGGGCACATAGCAGCCTTCCCAGCATGGCAAGTCCCAGTCGAGAGAGGCAGGAGAATGGAGTTCAGAAGGATTTCAGCTCCAGGCTGGCCACTGGACCAACTTTTCAGCATTTTTTAAGAAGTGCCTCAGCTCCTCAAGAAAAGCCATCTTCTCCAGAAGCAGAGGATCCACCTCCCTATCTCACAGAGGAAGAACTTCTAGGAGGACAGAGAAAAGGTTAGTTTTACTTCTTTTTCTTTTAGGCTTCTTGCCTTGCTCCTTCCTGCATCCATGGCCTGATTGTTTAACTAGTCTCTTATTACAGAACTGGTTTTATTTATTTATTTTTTGTCTTTCTTTTTTTTTTTTGAGACAGAGTCTCACTATGCAGTTCAGGCTGGTCTTGAGCTCACTTTGTAGCCCAGGCTGGTCTCCAACTTGCAATGATCCTCCTGCCTCAGCCTCCTGAGTGCTGGGATTATAGGCGTGCGCCACCATGCCTGACTCAGAACTGGTTTTAGAAGGTCAGCAGTATGGGAAAGTTTCTTAGTTATGGAATCATCAATTTCTACAACTAACGTTAATGGAAAGAAACCCACAAGGCTGGGCTTAAGGTATAGGTCAGTGGTAGAATGCTTGCCTAACATGCATGGCATCCTAGCTTCAATCCCTAGCACTGCAGAAAAAAAGAAACTTCATCGTGTTGACACACAGCAGTTGGGGTAGAATTTCTGGGAGTCTTCTCTTTGGTTGTCTTACTCTCAAAAACCTTGCTGGCCGTGGTGGTGCACACCTGTAGTCCCGGCGCTCAGGAGGCTGAGGCAGGAGGATCACTGAGTAGGAGGCCAGTCTGAGCTACATAGTGAGTTTAAGGCCAGCCTGAACTGCATAGTGAGACCCTGTCTCAAAAAAGCCAAGAAACCCCCAAACAAACAAACAAGAAAACGCATCAAAACCCCAAATGCAAAACCTTGTAATTACTTAAAAAAATTTTTTTTTAAGCTTTTTGAGACAAGGTCTCACTCTGTGGTCCAGGTTGGCCTTGAACTAATGGCAATCCTCTTGCCTCAGCCTCCCAAGTGCTGGAATTACAGGTGTGCTATGCCATGCCTGGCATTACTTTTTATTTTTGAGATAGATTCTCACTAAGTTGCCAGGCTCAAAGTTGTGTCTTCCTGCCTCAGCCTTTCAGAATGCTGAGGTAACAGGCATGCAGCACCATGCCTAGTTATGATGTTTTCATTTTTTTAGACAAGAAAGGTGGGCCAAAGAAGGTTGTTAAAAAAATGTTTCCTTCCTTTTTTTTTTTGAAATAAGGTTTCGCTATGCAGTTCAGGGTGGCCTTGAACTCACTTTGTACCCCAGGCTAGCCTCAGGCTTATAGTGATCCTCCTGCCGCAGCCTCTGGAGTGATGGGATTACAGGGGTACACCACCATGCCTGGCTGAAAAGGAGGATTTAAACATGTGGATTTAAATTTATTTTCCTCTCAAGTGGATAAATAGTATCCATAGTCCTTCCTTTTACTAGTGATTGAACTCAAAGCCTTCACACCAAGCTACATTCCTAACCCTATTTATTTTGTATTTTGATCAAGGTCTCACTACTCAGTGTCTTGGTTGTCCAGGTTGGGCTCAGACTCGCAGTTCTCCTACCTCAGCCTCTCAGAGCACTGAGATTATAGGCATGCACTACCACATGTGCTCCTTTTTTGTTTTTATAACTATTTCCTAGATTCTCAGGACATGTTTTTTTCCCATATTTTAAATTACGTGGCTTATAATTCGTATATTTATATAATACAGTGTGTCTTTTGTTCTGAAAGACTGCCATTACTTTGGGGTACATCTGGCAGTGATGATGTGTTAGGATTTTTTTTTGTCTTTTTGAGACAGGGTCTCACTATGCAGTTCAGGCTGGCCTTGAACTCACTTATGTAGCCCAGGCTGGTTTCAAACTTGCAACAATCCCCCTGCCTCAGCCTCCCCAGTGCTGGGATTACAGGCGTGTGTCACCATGCCTGGAGATGCTTTAGGATTGAGGCAAAAGGGGACTTAGTGCATAACCAGTTGTCTCGGGTGTTTTAGGGACTTCACAATAAGAGAGCTTTTGAGACTTGTGACCTGGCCTGCTTACCCTGGAATCTACCTTTCGTTGCAGTCTACCTTGAGACCTATGGCTGCCAGATGAATGTGAATGACACAGAGATAGCCTGGTCCATCTTGCAGAAGAGTGGCTACCTTCGGACCAGCAACCTCCAAGAGGTATATTATGTGTTTCCTGTTTCCCTGTGCTTCTGGACCTGGGTTAGACTCTACATTTGTGCCAGTTCCTAGGTGTAGTTTTGGGAACAGGTACAGGCTGCTGAGAGAGTTCCCTCGAGTGAAGGGTGTACCATAGGGCTGACTGGGTTACTTTCCTTCCAGCTGTCTTGGAGGCTTTTGTTGTGAGACTTACCTTTAGGCAAAGACCTAAGTTAAAATTTGGTGTCAGGAGAGTAAATAGGGAGTTAGGGTATATTGTGTTCAGAGTTACAGTTGGGGACGATGAGAGAATTTGGAGGTAGCTGGTGGTTCATGACAGTATGAATTTTTTTAGGGCCACAGAACTGTACACTTAAAAAGTTAGGATGATAAATTTTACGTGTATTTTACCACAATAATTGTGAAAAGGGGGTTGCTGAGGGCAGTAATTCTGTAAGTGTGATTTTTTTTTTTTTGGTCTTTTTTGAGACAGGGTCTCGATATGCAGTTCAGGCTGGCCTTGAGCTCACTTCGTAGCCCAGACTGGTCTCTAACTCTCAGCGATCCTCCTGCCTCAGCCTCCCAAGTGCTGGGATTACAGGCATGCGTCACCACACCTGACAAGTGTGATTTCAAAGTGATAATTTCTCTTTTTTTCTTTACTGTCCCTTCAGGCGGATGTGATTCTTCTTGTTACTTGTTCTATCAGGTATGAATTTATTCTTTCCCTAGGAAGTGAATTTTTTTTTTTTTTGCACTGGAGATTGAACCCAGGGCCTTCATACTGGGCTACATCCCAAGCCATTTTAAATTTTTTTATTTTGAGAGAGGGTATTGCCATGTCATTAAGTTGCCCAGGATGGGCTTGGATTTGACCATCCCTCTGCCTCAGTTTCCCAGAGTGCTGGGATTTCAGGTCACCACTGTGCCCAGCGTGGAGTGAACCTATCTTTTGTAATCACCCCAGAGCTAAAGCACCCCGCTAGCTTGCTAATAGACATGACCAGAAGCCCCATGTCGGTAGCACTTGCAGTTTTCCCACAGTAGATATTTTGATTCATCCTGCTGACATCTGCTGAGCAGTACTGTGTGTCAGGTTCCATGAGAGCACTGCACACATTAACAATTTAACTGTCATGCAACCCTATGAGGTTAGTGCTCTTCTGAAGCCTATTTTATAGGTGATGAAATCAAAAGTATGCTCAGTCACGGAAGTTTTCCCGAGGTTTTTCCGTTACTGATGGCATACTTTTATAATATAGTCGTCCAGGTGGGAGTGTAGTTGGTGCCTGGGGGAGAATATTCTGAAAGAGATAGGTGGCATCCATCAGAGGTGGCCAGGAAGCACTTGACCACAGGAAGTTCATTAGAAATGAATATATACCCTCTGTCTGGGTTACTTTTCTCTTGCTGCTGAGGCAAAATACCCGATACCCAAAGTTGAAGGAAGAAAGATTTATTTTGACTCACAGTTTATAGAGGTTTCAGTCTATAGTCAGCTGGCTCCAAGGCAGGGTGGTGTGGCAGAGGGGCATTGTAGAGGAGAAACAGTACTTGGTGAAGCAGGATGGGCAGAAAGCAACAAGCAGCAAGTGAAGTGACAGATTCTTTCTGTCCCTTTATCTTGTATGCAGGCTACTTGCCTTATGACCCGTATCAGTCACAGGGACACCCTTACCCTACCCAGAACTGTGCCAATCAGCAGACTAATTTAGTAGTCACACACCCTTAATCCCAGCATCACACATTCTAGGTCCTGCCACCTTTGAAAAGACCCACCTATGACCACATTATAAGCCATAACACCGTCTTTTTCTTTGTTTCTGTGTACGAGGCATATCATTGTTAGTATTTCTATAGCTGGCTGTACTATCAGCTAATTAATACAACTTTTTGTTCTGAGAGCTCTGCATGACACTGAGCTTGGGTGATTTGGAAGTGAACTCTCCCTCCATGGAGACTGGCTTTAGGGAGCTTGGTCTGATATAGGAAATAAGATAAAGAAATAGATCTAACATCTGACAAAAAATACTAGATTAAAAAGAAAGACAGTAAAAGCCAAATAGCTTAGTAAAAGGAAAAGTATAGTTAAAAATGGAAGGGCACATAAAAGGAGGAAAAACTAACAGACAGTTGTGGAAGGCTTTACAAGATTTAAACTTTTTTTTTTTTTTTTTTTTTTCATTTTGAGACAGTGTCTCATGAAGTTGCATAAGTTCCTCAGGCTGGGCTTGAACTTTCAATCCTCTGAAGCAGATTTTTTTGTTTTGTTTTTTGAGACAGGGTCTTGATATGTAGTCCAGGCTGGCCTTGAATTCACTATGGGGCCCAGGCTGCCCTTAACCTTGTAGCGATCCTCCTGCCTCAACCTCCTGAGTGCTGGGATTATAGGTATGTCCCATCACACTTGGGTTTTGAAGCAGATTCTTTTTGCGTTTTCATTACAGGGTTGACGACAGGATTTGTATGTGTGCAGGGAGGGTATCTGTCACTGTAGGAAAAGTGAATTGGCAAGTGAATATGGGAAGTGGTTTTTCATGGGCCCCTGCTTGCCTTCCCTAAGTCTAAAGGTAGATGTCATTTAAAGGGTTGAAGGTGGTTTTATTGCCTTTCCATTATCTTATTTTCTTAAATTGCTCTGTAGTTTATTTTTGGCTCAGTTTTGCCTCTGTTGGTTTCTGTAGGGAGAAGGCTGAGCAGACCATCTGGAACCGTTTACAGCAGCTGAAAACCCTAAAGACAAAGAGGCTCCACTCTCGGATGCCTTTGAGGATTGGGATTCTAGGTATCGGGTAATTTGTAGGTTTTGTCTGTTTTGCGACTTGGACTCCATGTGGCTTTATATGCTAGTTTCCTTTAGAGGTAGGATTCTAGGATGTGGAGAACCTTTATACACCCCATGCAGTCTTTTTGTTTGTTTGTTTGTTTTTTTTTTTTTTTTAATCAGGGTCTCATTATGTAGTGTAGGCTAGCCTTAAACTTACTGTGTAGCCCAGGCTGCCCTCAAAAGCACAGTCATCCTCTTACCTCAGCCTCCTGAGTGCTGGGATCACAGGTGTACACCACCCGCAGGGCCACCCCATGCAATCGTGTTCTTAATGTCAGAGGCTGTGAGATTAAATGCACTGAAAGTCATAAAGGGCTTTATGTAGTTCCTGAAGTAACAGGTGCTTAGAAAGTAGTATGTCCTTCCTAGAGCCTGATGCAGCCCAGAGTGGTGGCACAGTGATAAATAGGGTGGAGTGTTGTAGTCTGAAGGGGCAGTATAAGTTTACAGCATAGGCACCCCCTACATAGTGAGTTCAAGGCCAGCCTGAACTACATAGCAAGACCCTGTCTTTAAAAAAAAGGTGGTAAGAACAATGGGCTATGGCATGTTCAAAGATAAGAGGACTATTTTAAAGAGGATTAATAGCAATATGTCTTTTACTGTAATAATTTTTTAAAGGCTTTTAAACATCCACCTTATTTTTTGATCATATCTTGTATCTGTTAGAAATTTCAGAAATCTCAACGATAAGCCAAGAGTTGGGCGTATGGTACACCACACCTGGCCATATGTAATATGTATCTTTTTTGTGACTGTTTTATGTTACTTTGCATAACGTCCTCAAGGTTTACATGCTACATGTGTAGATCATGTGCAATAATTTCCTTCCTGGCTGGGGGTGGTGGTTCATGCTTATAATCCCAGCACTCAGGAGGCTGAGAGGCAGGAGGATCACTGTGAATTTGAGGCCAGCCTGAACTGCATAGTGAGACCCTGTCTCCAAAAGATAAAAGTCCTACCTTTTGAAGGCTGAATAATTTTCCATTTTGTGTATACACTACATTGTTTATTTGTTCATTTATTGATGAACTCTTAGGTTATTTCTACCTTTTGGTTACTGTGAATGATACTGCTTGGTATGAACATGGCTGTACAATGAACATGGGTGTATAATAAGAATAATTACTTATTTATATTTTTTGAAATGTGCTTTTGCTATGTTGCTCAGATTGGTCTTGAACTTTTGGGCTCAAGGGATCCTTCTACCTTAGCCTCTCAAGTAGCTAGTAGTGTAGGCATGTGCCAACACATGACTGCAAGAGTAAATAATTCTTTTTTTTTTTGGATACAAGGTCTCACTTTATAGTCCATGCTAGGCTTGACCTTGCTGTGTAGCCAGGATGCCTCAAACGTGAGATCCTTGTGTCTCAGCCTCTTGACTGCAGAGATTATAGGTGTGTCCCACCACACCTGGCTAATAATCTTCAGTTGAGAGAAAAATGTGGTCCATGTCTTGAAAGGCATTTGATAAGTTAGGTGTGGTGCACAAACTGGAAACTTTAAATTCTTAGGAACATTTCTGTGTGTTGCTCTCCAACCCAAGGTAGAGATAATGCATGCTGAGAAGATGCCCTGAAACCAGATGAGTTTGTAATCTGGTGCCTGTTCTTTTCCTCCCAGGCTGCATGGCTGAAAGAATGAAGGAGGAGATCCTCAACAGGGAGAAAATGGTGGATCTCTTGGCTGGTCCAGACGCCTATCGGGACCTTCCTCGGTTGCTGGCTGTTGTTGAGACAGGACAACAAGCTGCCAATGTGCTGCTGTCTCTCGATGAGACCTATGCTGATGTCATGCCAGTCCAGACAAGCCCCAGTGCCACTTCTGCCTTTGTGTGAGTCTCTGCTCCAGACTTGGGAGTGAGCCTGTCCTTTCCTTCTCACTTTAAAAATAACATGTTATTTATTTATTTATTTATTTATTCATTTATTCATTTAGGTATTTGTATGTATGTGTATGCATGTGGCACTAGGCATTGGAGCCAGGGCCTTCACACTGAGCTATGGCACCAGCCCTTTATAATGTTTTTTATTTTGAGACACGGTGTCGCTAAGTCATTTTAATTGCCCAGGCTCAGCTTGAAATTGGATCCTTTTACTTCAGCCTCCCAGAATGCTGGGATTACAGGTGTGAGTCACACACCCGGCTAAATTAGCATGTTATTTTATTGCATTTAAAAAGGAGGATGCCAGGCATGGTGGCACATGCTTATAGTCCCTGCACTTGGGAGGCTGAGGCAGGAAGATTGCCATGAATTTGAGGCCAGCCTGGGTTACCTGAGCCAATTCACTACTCTACACTACATAGCAAGACCCTCTCTCAGAAACAAAAACAAAAGTAAAAAGGAGAAACACATGCACATAGCATGTTACAGAATACAGCATACAAAAAATGATATAGTAGTAGTCTCTCATGCTTATCGTCCTTAGTTTCCTAAGCTGCTTCTCAAAGACAGCCATGTGCATCATGTTTTGCATAATTCTCTCGGAAATACTCCCTACATATGCATTTCATGTACCCATGTGGTGCTTACTCTGCTGTTTTTCATAAATAATAGTATTCTCTTTTATATTCTTTTTTGACTTTAGAAAGTGTCTCGGGCTTTCTTTGAGAGCTTGTTTGGAGGTTCTAGCAGGGGTGTGCAGCTACTCGTATACCCTTAACCAAGAAAAGGTCCTCCTTTACTGGGGGTGCTCGTCCTTTTTGACCGAGCGCACAGCTTCAGGAGGGACGCACATGGGGCATTGAGGGAGGAAGGGGACACCTGCCTAGCCAGCCAGATCAGCCGAGTCAACCCTGGTGATCAATGGGGTGACAGATGTCGCACTCACATCCACCTTGGGCTTTCCTGATTTAAAACTTTTTTTCTTCTGATCTTTTAGATTTAAAAGAAAATAATCCAGTTATTCAAACTTAATGAAGAATGTATGGAAAAGATAGAAAACCATAAATAAGAAAGTAAGAGAACTGGGCAGGATGGTACATGCCTGTAATCCCACTATTCTGGGAAACTCAGGAAGGATTTAATGAGACCCTGTCTAAAAATAAAAATGGGGTATATAGCTTGGTGCAAAGGCCCTTGTTTCGATTCTTAGTAAAGAACAAAAAAGAGAAGGAGGAGAAGAGGAAAGGGTAAATTCCCTGTACCCTCACCACCTATCGACAAATACTGTCACCATTTGGTGTGTAGCATTCCTGTCCTTTTCCTTTGTGTGTATGCATATGTGCTTTGTATGTGTGTTTATTTCTGAAAATAGATTTGCTGTACTTAGTTTTGTAATCTTCTTTAATGTATTTCTTGTAGCATGATATTTTGTTTTTTTTTTTTTTTTTTGCGGTACCGGGGATCAAACTTACAACCTTGCACTTGCCAGGCAGGCGCTTATGCCACTGAGCTATATCTCCAGCCCCTGGCATAACATTTTTTATAACAAGTTGTCAAGTGTCCTACCATCATTTTTGTAAATAAAGTTTTATTGGAACACAGCCAAGCCCATTCTTTTATGCATTGTCTATGGCTGCTTTTGCCACTTCAATAGTAGAGTTGAGTAGTCACAACATACATTATGTACTGCAAAACATTGAGTACTTACAGATTTTTTTTTAACAGAAAAACTTCGGCAACTATTCATTTTAATTCTACTATTGGAATGTTTAGTAAAAGTAATAGCTAACATTTGTTTAACAATTCTTCAATGAACATTTTTGACACATACCTGTAATTAGTTCCTTAAGATAAATTGAGGCTCTTATATATAGGATGCAAATAGAGGGATTTAGTCAGGTGTGGTAGTACACACCTGTAATCTCAGTATTTGAGGAGGCTGAGGCAGGAGGATCACTATGAGTTTGAGGCCAACCTGGGCTACATAGTAAGTTCAAGGCCACCCTGAACTACATAGCAAGACCCTGTCTCAAAAACTAACCCCCTGCCAAAAAGAGGGATTTAGTTACCTAGCAGTTGGATCAGTAGTATATGCAAAATGCTGAACCCTGCATTTTAAATCTAAGGTCTCCCCCTCTTACACATACATAAACACTTTGTAACTTTTTTTTTCTTTTTCTTTTTTTGAGGCAGGGTCTTGCTATGTAGTCAGGCTGGCTTGAACTCACTATATAACCCATCCTGGCCTCGAACTCAAGGTGATCCTCGTGCCTCCCTCCTGAGTGCTGGCATTACAGGTGTGTGCTACCATGCCTGACCTATTTTTTTCTGGTCTAGAAGCATTTATTTATAATCTGGATTAGATATGAAAATTTAAAAGCATGCATAAAAGCAGTAGAAAGTCCATATGTGGTAGTGGCAGTATATCCTCTTCCTACTCTGCTTCCTCAAGCAGAGGCCTATGTGCACCAGTTGTGGTTTGGTTTGTGCTCTGAGGTTACATGCTAGTTTTTTTTTTTTTTTTCGTTGGTCAGTACTGGGGATTGAACCCAGAGCATGCTTGGCAAGTGCTTTACCACTGAGCTGATCTCCAGCCCCTTTTAAAATTTTTACTTTAAGAGAGGACCTCACTAAGTTGCCCAGGCCAGCATTTTTTTTTTTTTTGTCTTTTTGATATGGGGTCTTGTTATGCAGTTCAGTCTGGCCTTGAGCTCACTTTATAGTCCAGGCTAGTCTCGAATTTGCAATGATTCTCCTGCCTCAGCCTCCCGAGTGCTGGAAGGCTAGCTTTGAACTTGTGATCCTTTTGCTATAGTCTCCCTAGCTGGGCTTACAGGTGTGTGTGCCACCATGCCTGTCTACATACTAGTTTTTAAAGATAAAATGTACCTGCTTTAGTGCTTTATAAATGGCAGATTGGTCCAGTTTGATCATAAAGACCAAAAGATTCAGAGCCAAAGAATAATTGGGGGAGCTGTGACTTGCTCCTTGGGAGGTGCTAAAGTTCTGTGCTCCTATTAGTTAAGTTTTGGTACTTTCCTCCCCAGGTCAATCATGAGGGGATGTGACAACATGTGCAGCTACTGCATTGTTCCTTTCACGCGTGGCCGGGAGAGGAGTAGGCCTGTTGCCTCCATTCTAGAGGAAGTGAGGAAGCTTTCTGACCAGGTAAAAAGCTCTGCAGACTCTCTTACCTATAAGCATGTTTTGGAAGGATGAGGACAGCTCTTTAGTTTTACAAGCTGTGCTGTCTGTAAGTTGCACAAGTTTGGGAACATGCCTGGCTAGAAGGAAATGCCTGCATATACATCTTTAATTTGCTGCTCTTGAATTATGGGCTGATCCAGTGTGACGTTGCCCAGGAGGGAGCACAGCACAAAGGTGAGTTTAGAATCAGGTAACTAAATATGAACTCTGGATCCACCATTCTTTGCCATGGTGCCTAGGCACAGATCATTTAATCATCTTTGAAATACAGTTTCTTCACCTTAGAAAAGAAGATAAAATAATACCTTTCTTGTAGGGTAGTTGGAAAGATGGAAGAGGTGTTTTTAAGTTACCTGACACATGGCAGGTTTTCAAGAAATGACATATTTGTCTGTCTGTTCTGGGGGACCTTCCTGTTCATTTTAGGAATGAAGGGGTAAATACATTGAGACAGGGACGAAATCTTTTGTTCATTTTATCACCAAACCAGCTCACTGGTTAAGGGGCAGAGAACAGTTAGGGGAGTGAGTTGGGTCTGAGGCCAGAGGTGAGAGACCTGCTTGTGTACTTCCTGTGGGGAGCTGGTCTCAGCATTCTCTCCCTAACCCCAGTCCTGAATCTTCTTTCCTGCAGAAGAGGAAAGTAGCTGGGGATATGGCACTTCTCTTCTGGGGGGCTTTCCCTGTTTCCTTGCCTGTCTGGCTCAGGAGCCATGGGAACAGGTAGGCCAGTTTTAAGTCAGCTGCGAACCTTGTGCTCCTGTTCTGGCCACGCTGTCCTCTCTTCTGTTCCCCTTTCATCCCCAGGTAATCCTGTCCCTGACTTGATCCTGGTTTCTCACTGGCCTGTGAAGCCTTCTCTGTACCTCACTTATCCAAGTGCTTTATGCCCAACCGTGATTTCTTCCTTTCTCTTACCGGGTCCGCCACAGTGCAAAACGACTTTGGGGTAGATACATTGAGATGGGGACGAAATCTTCCTAACTTTTCTAGATTGTTTGTGTATAAGGGGAGGCTCTTAATAACACTGAAGTGAATCTTTGTAAAGTCCAGGCCATAGAGTTGTGGAAAACTAAGATTCTGCTTGTGTTTTTTTTTTTTTTTTTTTTGGTTTTTCTCCGGTATCGGGAACCGAACTCATGACCTTGCGCTTGCCAGGCAGGCGCTTTTGCCGCTGAGCTAAATCCCCAGCCCCTCTGCTTGTGTTTTAAAGGACTTGTTAATCACTACTTTTGGTGGTAAAGTAACTTTTTAAAACAACCTTTCTCTTTCATTCAGATTTTTAGACTACAGTTACAAAGAAAATGGAATCCTATAATATTGTACCTTTAGCAGAATAACAGAATGTCCATTTTTTCAGCCAAACAATGGTTATTGTTTGGCAATCCTCTAAGTAAATAGCTTTTTTGTGTGTGATGGGGTTTTGCTCTGTTGCGCTGGCCCTGGAATTCCTGATGGTTTTGCCTCAGGCTCTTGAATACCTGGAATTACAAGCATGTGCCCTACTCAAAGCAGTTTTTTTCCAGACATCTTTTTTAGCCTTTTTATATGACATAGTTTTTTTTTTCCAGCATTGAAGATTGAACCCAGGGTCTTGAGTGTGCTAAACAATTTGTTTTTATGTCTCTTTTTCTGTGTGCATTTTATATAGTTTTATATTCAATTTTTTAATAAAAAATAAATTTGTTTTTGAATAATTTTTTATTATTGTTGTTGTTATGATTATTATTGTTATTATTATTATTTTGGTTCTTTGAGACAAGGTCTCACTGTGTAGCCCAGGCTGCCTTGAACTTGCAGTGATCCTCCTTCCTCAGCTTCCTGAGTGCTATGATTACAGTTGTGCACCACCATGCCCAGCAGAAAAATACGTAGTCGTGTATTTAGGGGTGAAAGTATGATTTCTGCAAATATTCTTATAAGCCTTAAACAAAAAGAAGTGTGTAGCCCTATCTTCCAATATTTCTTTGAGATAAGATCTTACTGTGTTGTCCAGGTTGGCCTTGTACTGTTGGACTTAAGTGATCCTCCAGTTTCAGCCTCCTGAGTAGGTGGAACCATGCTGGGCTTGCTAATTAAAAGTTAGATGTAAAACCTTGAGATACACGCTATAGTTTTTGGTGTGAATACTTCAAAGACTCTTGTAATATTCATCTCTTAGAATGTGTCATAAATTAACCTTTTTTTTTTTTGGTTTTTCTCCGGTACCGGGAACCAAACTCACAACCTTGCGCTTGCCAGGCAGGCGCTTTTGCCGCTGAGCTAAATCCCCAGCCCCTTTTTTTTTTTTTTTTTTTTAATGTCTTTTTGAGACAAGGTCTCACTATGCAGTTCAGGCTGGCCTTGAGCTCACTTTGTATCCCAGGCTGGTCTCAAACTTGCAATGATCTTCCTGCCTCAGCCTCCCTAGTGCTGGGATTACAGGTGTGCACCACCATGCCTGGCTTCTTTTTTAGGCCTTTGAGATAGGGTCTCACTATGTAGTTTGGGTCAGCCTTGAACTCACTCTGTATTCCAGACCAGCTTTAAACTTGTGGCAATTCACTTGCCTTAGCCTTCCGAGTGCTAAGATTACAGGCATGTACTACCGTACCGTGCTCATTATTGTCAAACATTGAATTTGTCTTCAGGTTTTTTTTTAATTTATTTTATTTTTGAGACAGGGTCTTACCCCGTAGTTCAGGCTGGCCTTGAATTCACTATGTAGCCCAGGCTGGCCTTGAACACTTGGCTTTAATTTTTTTTTTTTTTAATGGAATATTGTTTTTTTTTTTTTTTTGGTATTGGAGATTGAACTGAGGTCCTTATGCATGCTAGATAACTCCTCTACCACTGAACAATGTTCCCAGTCCCCTAAATAGTGTTTTGAAGGTTAACTTTTACTGAAGATTTTATTCTGAAGCTCAGTTCTTTAGATAAGATACCCAAGCTTGAAATTATATAGGTGGCTCTTGGTAGGTCCAGCTAATATTTAATTAGTGATTTGTCAGAAAGCTGCTCAACAAGTTTTTAACTTGCTTCCAACATATTTTCTCTTTTTTAGGGGCTAAAAGAGGTGACACTTCTTGGTCAGAATGTTAATAGTTTTCGGGACAATTCAGAGGTTCAATTCAACAGTGCAGTATCTACTAACCTCAGTCGTGGTTTCACCACCAACTATAAAACCAAACAAGGAGGGCTTCGTTTTTCTCACCTTCTAGATCAGGTTTCCCGAGTTGATCCTGAAATGAGGATCCGGTTCACCTCTCCCCATCCCAAGGATTTTCCTGATGAGGTGAGTGTTGTCATTTAGCTATGACAGTGTGGTGTCAGTATCCTGACAGCTCTGTGGAACTGGGCCCAGCAGGGGTGCAGCAGAGACCTGAGTGTTGCTTGAAGAATCCTGTGCTGTGTTGCTGTGTCATTCTCTGGAAAGATTTAAAGTCCTCCAAGGTCGGGGTGGAGCTAGGACTGGTATGGAAGGATCCTGTGGGATCATGAGGGAGATTTGATTGTGAGGTGGGCAGCCGCATGGTAGTGATAGTGGTTTGGTGGTGGTGTGCAGACAGAAAGGAAGGCACTGAGATGTGGTGGGAAAAAGCCCAGACTTTAGCTGTATGCAAGTCTGGGTTCAAATCTCAGCTGTTTCCCTACTTTACAGTGGGTTTGTAAAGATGATTTTCAACTTGTCATTCTCGTGTAGGGTTGATGATGACCCCTGCTTTATGTTGTTGTGAAGTAATATAATGTAAATAATATAATTTACACAGTGCCAGACTTTGAGTAGTTAGCCCACATGTAAAAAATCTTTTTTTTTGATGGTTTTCTGTTTTGGTGAAATGTTTATCTCAAATGTTACTTTTTCTCTCTTGGATTGTTTTTCTTGATTTGTAGCTTCTTTATGTATTCTTTTTGTTTTTTCTTCTTTATGTATTACAGATTTTTTTTGTGGGGGCGGTCTTTTTGAGATAGGATCTTGCCATGTAGTTCAGGCTGGCCTTGAGCTCACTTTGTAGCCCAGGCTGGTCTTGAACTTGCAGTGATCCTCCTGCCTCAGCCTCCCAAGTACTGTTCTTTATGTATTCTTGATATAAATCTTATGTCAGTATGTTTTCAAATATTTTCTCTAGCTTTATTTCTTCCCCGCCTCCCTTTTTTGAGAGCAGAGTCTTGCTGTATAGTTCAGGCTAGTCTTAAACTCACTGTATAGCCCAGCTGGCCTCGAACTCCTGGTGATCCTCCTGCCTCGACCTCCTGAGTGCTGGGATTATGGGCATGCGCCACTACACCTGGCATAATTTTAATTGCTTGATGGTGTCTTTTTTTTTTTTTTGAGACAGGGTCTTGCTATACAGTTCAGGCTGGCCTTGAGCTCACTTTGTAGCCCAGACTGGTCTCGAACTTGCAACAATCCTCCTGCCTCAGCCTCCCAAGTGCTGGGATTACAGGCGTGCACCACCATGCCTGGCTCTGGTGTCTTTTAAAGTGGTTAAGTAGTTTGTGAGTTAGATGAAAGAAAAGTCATCTTTTCCTTCCTTGACTGTTGGCCCTTAGGTCAGTACTACCCATGAGCAGCTGTGGCTTGAATCTGACTTGCGCTTGCTGTCTTCCCCCTACTATTTGAAAGGAAAAATGGCATCAAGTGAAATGTCTGGGGCAGACAGAAGGCAGCTTGGGTAGGAGTTAGGGATTTGGGTAATTTGTATATTTGATTAATTAATTTTTTATTTATTGAGAATTGACCTTAAAGAGAAACAGTGAGAGTGATACTCCTTTCTGCAAGATTCAGTGGTAAGACTTGACTGACCCTCAATGTGTTCTGTTTAGGTTCTGCAGCTGATTCAAGAGAGAGACAACATCTGTAAGCAGATCCACCTGCCAGCCCAGAGTGGAAGCAGCCGTGTATTGGAGGCCATGCGGAGAGGGTCAGTCTTATTTGGAGAGGGCATGCAGTATCTTACTCCTGTCTTTGTTTTTTAATGATCAAGCAATGTGTGTATTGCTAAGAACTGAGCATAGTTTGTGAGCTAGGTGAAAGAAATGTCATCTTTTTCTTTGCTGACTGCTGACCCTTATGTCGGTACTACCAGGGAGCAGCCCTGTGGCTGGAATCTGGCGTATGCTTGCTTCTCTTACATGTAGCTGCTCAGTACATGTTTATCATATGAGTAAACCTACAGACCTGGAACTTGCTTTTGCCCACTCCATAATCATAGGCTAAGGACTGGGTCACCCATTTTAATATTTTTTAGCATATTTACATTGGTTAAATTATCTATTTATTTTTGTGGTATTGAAGATTAATCCTAGAGCTTTGTGCCTGCTGAGTGGTCCACTACTAGGCTACATCCCCAGCCCTATTTAACATTTTAAAATTATCTACTATGTACCATGGTTGGCGATTTTAACCCTTTAAATAACTTTCTTTTTTTCTTTCTTCTTTTCTTTTCCCTCCCTCTCTTCCTTCCTTCCTCTCTCCCTCCCTTCTGTGTTTCAGTATATAGTGCAGAGTGGCCTTGAACTTGCTATGTAGCCCAGGCTGGCCTTGAATTCACTAACCCTTCTGCTTCAGCCTCCTGAGTGCTGGGAGTATAGGTAGTGCCTGGCAACCCTATAACTTTCAAGAATAAAAACAAGTCATTTAGGTTTTGGAATTTAAATGTTACTTTGTTCACTGACTTTGGGGATATTTAGTATTGCAGAGATAAGACTGCAAAGAATGTGACCTACAGCAAATTATGTAGAACTAGTGCTTTACCTTTCCTTTCTACAGTTGCAAAGAGTTGTAGATATCCTCTTAAATGTTTAATCTGTTTTAATTTATTAAATAAAAGGGCTAGGAAGTTAAACAAATTCAGGGCAAGGGATATGGTTCTGTGATAGAGTATATGCCTAGCATGTGTGAAGCCCTGGGTGCAATTGCACACCACTGGAAAAATAAATTATAGCCTCTAGATTAAGGACAGGAACATTTTTATATGCCTGTGTAATTGTGATGTTTAGGTCCATGCCCAGTACACACTAGGTCTTCAAATGAAACATAACGAGGTAAATGGATGGACATAGGGATAGATGGATGGATGAATATGGACAATACACAATTCTGAGTCTAATCAAAACTCCAAAGTCATTTAAAAAGCTACAGTGTAGCTATAGTTTATAGAGACAAGACTTATTATTTACCTCTTAAATGCATATAATGGAAAAAGAAGAATATTCCAAAAGGGTGGAACTGAATGCTTGCTGGGTAAATGCAAATATTCTACCTCTAAGCTACACTTCCAGCCCCCCACAACCATATTTTCTCACTTAGAGTCTCACACTAGTACAAAGAAGACCTAGTGTTTACACATAAAGACTCTAAGGACCAGCACTTGGGAGGCTGAGGTATGAGGATCACTGAGAGTTCAAGGCCAATCCAGGCTACATAGTGAGTTCTAGCCCAGTCCAAACTGTATAGCAAGACCCTGTCTCAAAAAACAAAAAGCAAGCAAGCAGACAAAAAAGAGTCTATGGGCGATGCCAGACTATGATCAATAAAAGATGATTTAGCTATAAACATGCTGACTGCTGGTGGAGAATTCTGGGCAGCTTGCTGGGGCTCTCACCAAGTCCTGGAGCTTTTGAAGTTGCTTTCCTGTCAGTCCCCCAATGCCCAGGTCCTCCTCATCCTCTTCTGGCTGGGCATTGATATTGCCAGTCGATGGACCCTGTTTGATAAAAAACTCTTCATACTGGTCCAAGAGAAGTCCATGAAACATCCAGGCTGAGAGCTGCTTATACATGACCCCATGACACACTGCCAGGGCTTTTTCTAGTGCACTCCGAACAGGAGGCAGACCCCACAACCGTGTTTGTAGACTGTCTCCAGGATCTGACCTCCATGAATCTTGGCCCTTCTGAGATGGATAGTGATCCTGTTGCTGCGCATGGCTTGTGTACTGTTCAGTGAACTTGGTGAAGCGAGTTCATATCAAACGCTGATATGAGTGTTACTGTGCCAAGCCGGCAGAGTCGATTGAGGACGCTGTTCTCATAGAGTGGAGAAATGGGAAATCCTGGGACACATACAGGCGCTTGTTCCGAGTGAAAATGGACCCCGGGTAACCGCTCAGAGCCAGGAGCAGTTTGTGGATCATCCCACAGCGGACTTGGGAGTCCCTAGATGCCACACCCTCTCCTCTAGCACCTCTCTAACCAACAGCTGGGCCCAGCCAGGCCGAATGCTCTTCCTATTCATGGCCTCTAGATTAGATAGGGTTTGATGAAAAGCACTGAGATACTTTAACATAATTCTGAACTGAGCTGTGTGGTTGAGAAGTGATTACATTTGAGAGTTCATGTGTTACTACTCGTTTTAAAAAATAAGATTAATTTAAAGAAGATTGGTTCATCTAGGCCTTTTCTTTCTATTTTTTATTTGCAGGTATTCAAGAGAAGCGTATGTGGAGTTAGTTCACCATATCAGAGAGTCTATTCCAGGTACTTTAAGAAATGCTGATAGGAGTGTGTTACTGTGCCACAGTACGTAGTCTTCTCGGTCCGATACAGGCTTGCACCATCATGCCTGGCTGCCAACCTCTTTGACTGTTCCTTATGACACTATTTATGCTTTTGCTTCTCTCCATTGTGTTTTCTCTCCCCCTCTCCCTTCTCTTGCCCTCCTTCCTGCCCTTCTTTTTTTTTTTTGGTTTTTCTCCGGTACCGGGAACCGAACTCACAACCTTGCGCTTGCCAGGCAGGCGCTTTTGCCGCTGAGCTAAATCCCCAGCCCTCTTCCTGCCCTTCTGTGCTTAGATGTGTAGATAGAAATACATGTTTGTACAAGGCACTGCAAGATTTTCAGTAGTAAAAAGCAGGACCACTTTGAAAACGTGGACTCCTCGTATGTCTCTGAATGTGGCATTTGAAGTGAAAATACCTTTCCTAGTGCTGTGAGCAATGCAGGCTGAGAAGCCAGTGTTGGCATGGATTGTGGTGGAGAAGCAGGCTCGAGTGCTTCTGTCTGTAATGATAGTTTTACTTGTTCGTGGGCTGAGTGGCCCAGGGAAGGCCTTCTAATTGTTCTCCATCCCTCTGTAGCCCACAAATGACAAAGCTCTTGAAGGTCAGCAACAGCATCCAGTTGTCCTTTGTTGTGTGTCACAGGGGTGTGCCTCAGCAGTGACTTCATTGCTGGCTTTTGTGGAGAAACAGAGGAAGATCACCTGCAGACACTGTCTTTGCTTCGGGAAGTTCAGTACAACACAGGTTTCCTCTTTGCCTACAGCATGAGACAGGTGAGCCCAGGATTGGGGAGGACTGTTTTTATTTCTGACTAGCTTGGGATGATCACAGGCAAAAAAGAGTGGTGGCAAGGCATTCATTACAGAACCTCAGGATTTCATCAGCCACTTCTTTTTCACTTTTCTATTTAAGTCTTTCTAATGTTTGACACAATTCAGCAATTAGAGATGAAAAAGAGTTACTGTACCATTGTTCCCATATATTAAAATGCTTAAAGTTATGTTTAGATTGTTTAAAATTTTAATGTGGAGAGAGAGAAATTTATTCTCTTTACAAGGAATCTAGAGGACCAGGGATATAGCTCAGCGGCACAGTGCCTGTTAAGTGCAAGGTCGTGAGTTCAATTCCCAGTACCAAAAAACCCCCCAAAGAACAAAAAAAACAAAACACAAACCACACAAAGAATCTAAAATATTTTCTTAACATGCAGAACTTATTGTTTTGGTCTATACATGTGGTCTTCTGAGCCCCCTATACCTATTTCTGATTTCTGTTTTTCTAGGCTAAGTTGGCCCATTGGTGTTTACTTTTAGTTTTCTCTATAACATAAATTTCCAGAAAAACAAAGCAGGAGATGAGGAAGGAAAAGGAGAATAGTGAGCGTTTCCTACTGAGAGCTAATCCCGGTCTCCCATTTTCTTGGCGGTAGGGATGGATTTAATGGTCACTCTTCCCTTAGTCACCTTGGAGCCAGCGTACCTTGTGTTTGGGATGGAGGCTAAGGGCTCTTGTGACCGCTGGGCTCAGGAAAGCTGACTAAGGAATGACTGAGTCCATGACTTTAGTCTCACTGTCCCTGTGTTGCCATCAATTCAGCTAACTTATTTGTTCTAAAGCTCATGGTTTAGTATTTTGTTTTTTTTCTGGTACCGGGGATCAAACTCAAGATGTTACGCTTGCCAGGCAGGCGCTGTGCCGCAGAACTAAATCCCCAGCCCATGGTTTAGTATTTTGTAGGTGGTGTAAATGGGCCAATGTTTGTATTCATGTCTTTTATAAAATTGAGAGATGATGCTTCAGAAGAGTTTTTAGAATCCATTTTGCTTTATTTCCATGGACATAACAAACTTTAGAAATTCTTTATAATGCTATGGGTGGGAAATGGGTTGTCACTGTATGTAGGTGCATGTCCTATAGACACTGAATATGTGTATTTATTTTGGGACCTATTTCGTAGGTTAGTAGTAGGGTTATAGAGACGTAAGTATCCTAGTGGCTGAGAACAAGCACTTAGATTATACCTTTGCCACTTAATAACTATGTGACCTTGAGTAAAGTCTTTGCTTTTTTCATCTGTGAAATGGGGGTGATATTAGTACCAGCTTTATAGAGTATATATAAAACACATATAATAGTGCTTTGTACATAGTAAGTGCTATTATTAATAGCAAGACAGAACAGAGTAAAACCTGTAGATGTAATAGGATTCTCCACCAATTTTCTGTTTTCCTCTGAGGATTTTAAAGGCAGGTTGTTTTAAATACTTATACTGTGGTTTAAAGATTCTTCTTGCTGTGTATTCTAGGCTGGCCTTGAACTCACGGTAGTCCTCCTGCCTCATCCTCCCAAGTGCTGGGATTGCAGGCTTGTACCAAAATTTCCAACAAAATTTCTTATATTTATAACCTTGTATTTACATTTATATTTCATGTATTTATAATTTGTGTGTTTTTTCTAGCCCAAAGATATGCTTGGGTTAACAGTCTGTTTTGGAGAATAGTCCATGTTAGTAGTACATATAGAGCTTTTTTGTGTGTGTGTGGTGCTGGGGATGAATCTAGGGCCTTGCACATGCTAGACACATGCTCTGCTACTAAGCTACATCTCTAGACCATTTAATTTAATTTATTTTGTTTTTGAGGCAGTTAGGCTGCCTTGATACTGTAGGTTTCATAAGTAGTGCTGATGAGTTGCCTAGTACCTGAGTCATTTAGTATGTCCCAAGTGTGACCTTAGGACAAATAGCAAGAATAATTTTTTCTATGATTTTTATGTGTTAAAATTAGAGTTTGAGTTGGGCATGGTGGTGCATGCCTGTAATCCCAGTGTCTAGGAGACTGAGGCAGGAGGATCACCACAAGTTGGAGGCCAACGTGGGCTACATAGCAAGACCCTGTATCAAAGCAATAGCAATAAAATGAAAAAAAATTAGAATTTGATCCTTGAAAAAATGTGATTGGTTCCAGACCCAGAGAACCCTCTTGGTTTAGGTTTGAGTTTTTATACATGTGCCTGTGACTTGCGAGTAGAATGAACGTGTTTACCGTCTGTGCCCTAAGAATGGATTCTACAAGTCCTTAGTGGCCTTCATCTCCCTTTTCTTAAATAGAAGACACGGGCATATCACAGGCTGAAGGACGATGTTCCAGAAGAAGTAAAATTAAGGCGTTTGGAGGAGCTTATCACTGTCTTCCGGGAAGAAGCTTCAAAAGCCAACAAGACCTCTGTGGGTTGTACCCAGCTGGTTCTGGTAGAGGGGGTGAGTCTGTCTAGCTATGTATATATTTTATTGTTTTTTAGAACATGATATATCTCTCCTTTATTTATTTATTTATTTTTCTGTTTTTGTCTTTTTTTAAGACAGGGTCTCGCTCTGCAGTTCAGGCTGGCCTTGAGCTCACTTTGTAGCCCAGGCTGGTCTTGAACTTGCAATGATCCTCCTGCCTCAGCCTCCCTAGTGCTGGGATTACAGGTGTGCGCCACCACGCCTGGCCTATCTCTCCTTTATTAAGATCTTTGATTTTTAAAAAAATTTTTAAAAAATTTATTTTATGGAAAAAAGGTAAAACAAAATTTCATGACAAAATAATAGGGGAATAACAATAGTTAATATGTTGCATGTTGTTATCTTTAAAGTAGTTAGTGCACAAAACATGGGCATAAAAATTTTTCCAATCAATATTGGCACAAACCTTCCTTTTTAATGAACTAAGAGACACTAATAGTATAACTGACGTGCATTTTTCCCCTTTTTCCTACTGTCCTCTCCCCTTTCACCCATCTTAGTTCCTTTTTCCTTTTGAACAATTTCTTCCCATTTCACTATATCTATTACGCATTTCTTCTTTGATTTTTCAATTAAAGTTTTTCTAGTTTTCAGCAGTGAAGTCTTTGAAAGACAAGAATATATACAATGGCCCATTTACACTCCCTCTCTTCCCCTCCTGTGTCGTCCTTCCTTTTCTCGTTCTATGGGTGTTGAACACAGGGTCTCATGGGTGCTTGGCAAGCTCTCTCTACCGTAAGCTGTATCCCCAGTCAGTTTTTAATTTTTTATCTTGAGACAGGGTCTCACTAAGTCACTCAGTTGCCCAGATTGCCCAGTCTAAATTTAGTTCTGGTCATTTCATCAACCTCAGAACATTTGTGAGTGATTACTGCGAGACAGGGTGATGTTCCTTGGTATAGATTTGTTTAGGTTTACTGGGTTAGGAGTTTATCTTTTGCCAAGTTTGACAAATGCTTATCTGTTAATTGTTTGCTTTTCAGCCTTGCCCTCTTTCCTTTGTCCTGAGACAGGGTCTTGCTATGCAATTCAGGCTGGCCTTGAGCTCATTTTGTAGCCCAGGCTGGCCTCGAACTTGCAATGATACTCCTGCCTCAGCCTCCCGAGTGCTGGGATTACAGGTGTGCACTGCCATGCCCGGATGTTCAGTCTTTTTTTTTTTGTCTGTCTTAGAAAGGCCTTGGTGGAGAAGGACAGGTCTGCTGCTTTCCTTAGGATATGGCAGCATCAAAGCCAGCACTTGTCTGATGTTTGCATTTGTTGAAACTCTCTGGTAGAAACAGAAATTTATACAACTCAGCAGAATTTTTTTACATAAGACTTCGTGGGCATATGCAAGCTACAGTCCGGTGTCTGGAAGAGACTGTACCCAGCCTGGGAAGCCCTTGAGACAGAGTTGCTGTCTGCCGCTCAGGCCAGCTTTCCCTACTTCCTCATTTGGGTAGCAGAGTAGCGCAGTCCTGTAGTTCCCTCCTTCATACGTGGTAGTTCCAGTAGTTGTGTTCTCAGTTCCGAGTCAGAGAACCTGATCAGCTCAGCATGGGTGCAGTCCCCCTTGTGGTCTGGTCAGCTTGGCCAGGTGGCAGAGAGAACTGGTGCCGCAGTATTTGCTGGGCAGTGGTGCTGAGCTGGTGAAAAACCCCCAAAGTTGTCTGCCTCATTAGATGCTTTGAAGTTTAGGGTGTCAGCTTTGATTCTGGCTGACAGTTTCCAGGTTGCTCTCTTTGCCTGCCTTCGTGGAGTTTTACTCTGTACATATGTGTGTGAGTGTTCAGCAGAGTCCAAGGAACCCTGTTTATATTTCTAGAGCTCTTTTTCTGCCAAACTCCCTCCTCTTTAGAATTTGTTCTACAATTTCTAGCTATCTCAGGCTCCCTGGACTTTGATCTGTTAGTCCCCAGCACCCTTCTTTTTTATTTTGCTTTCTGTTTTGTTTATTTTTTAAGGCTGTGTAGTAGGCTGGCCTTGAACTCCCTGTGTACCCTAGGCTGGCCTCGAGCTCTTGATCCTCCTGCCTCAGCCTCCCGTTGCTGGGATTATAGGCATCCACCACCATGCCTAGCTGATACTTTCCTCTCTCAATGGAGAGAGAATCTCCATGAATCTGCTTGAGATCTTTCTCCCTACTTTTTGTGACCTGGCCTGGCATATACCTTCTGGTAGAAAGGAGTGTCTGGTGTCATTTAATTTATTTTCCTTCTCTTGTACATCACAACTTTGTGTGATCTGTTGTCCAATATGTGAAAACTGTCTTACATTGTTTCTAGTTTCCTAACTTAAGGCTGGAGTCTAAATTTAGTTCTGGTCATTTCATCAACCTCAGAACATTTGTGAGTGATTACTGTGAGACAGGGTAATGTGCAGGACGACTTGCCAAGGGTGAGCGCTTTACCCCTAAACACTGGAGCTAATTGCTGTAGAAGGCAGCTCTGCACAGACTCACTGGTGAATTGACTGGTTCAGATGTAGCCAGCAGACTTTCCAGAGCTTCTGTGATGTGCCGTGCACTGCCCTTGCTGAAGCAGCAGCACACACTAAGCTTCCAGTCATTCTTTGGTTAAGGAGAGTTCTGTGGGTACAGGCCCTATAGACTCTTGAAACAGAGAGGGCAGTTTCCACCTTCCTAGAACTTGTGACCGTGACAGTCTTCTCTCTTCTTTCTGTAGCTCAGTAAACGCTCTGTCACTGACTTATGTGGCCGGAATGATGGAAACCTTAAAGTGATCTTCCCTGATGCAGAGATGGAGGATTACATTAACCCTGGGCCCAAGGTCAGAGCCCAGCCTGGGGATTATGTGCTGGTAAAGGTAATGTATCTTTTGAGATTGTTTTATTTTTGAGATAAGGTCTCACTATGTAGCCTAGGTTGGCCTTGGACTCACAGAGATCTTCCTGCCTCAGCCTCCCAAGTGCTGGGGTTATAGGTGTGGCCACTATACCTGGCTTTGTTTTTTGTTTTTTGAGACAGTGTCTCACTATGTATTCAGGCTGGCCTTGAACTCACTATAGCCCAGGCTGGCCTCAAACTTACGGTGATCCTTCTATCTCAGCCTCCCCAGTGCTGGGATTACAGGTGTGTGCCACCATGCCTGGCTCCTTTGAGCATATACTGTGAAATGAGTGTTACTTTGGATAATTTTTAGTTACTCATGATTCTTTTTTGTTCCTAAGTGATGTGAATCCTACAAGTAGTGTTTAGTGGAAGGACTGAAGTAAAGAAGGAACTCTGGATCCAGCCAGCGTTGGTTCTTTCTTTTACTTTTTTTTTTTTTTTTTTTTTGTCTTTTTGAGACAGGGTCTCGCTGTG